GAAATGCAAGTTGGATTCAGAAGAGGATGTGGAACAAGGGATATCATTGCTGATGTCAGATGTGTCTTGGCTGAAAACAAAGAATACCAAAAAAATGTTTACGTGTGTTTCATTAACTGTGCAAAAGCTTTTGATTGTATGGATCATAACAAATTATGGATAACATTGAGAAGAATGGGAATTCCAGAACACTTAATTGTGCTCATGAAGAACCTATAAATAGATCAGGAGGCTGTTGTTCAGACAGAACAAGGGGACACTGCATGGTTTAAAATCAAGAAGGGAGTGTATCAGGGTTGTATCCTTTCACCATACTTACTCAATTTGTATGCTGAACAAATAATCCAAGAAGCTGGATTATATGAAGAAGAATGTGGCATCAGGATTGGAGGAAGACTCATTAACAACCTGCAATATGCAGATGACACAACTTTGCTTGGTGAAAGTGAGGATGATTTGAAGCACTTACTGATGATGATTGAAGACTACAGTCTGTAGTATGGATTGTACCTTAATGTAAAGAAAGCAAAAATCCTCACAACTGGACCAATAAACAGCATCAACACCAATAAATGGAGAAAAAGTTGAAGTTGTCAAAGACTTCATATTACTTGGTTCTACAGTCAACACCACTGGAAGCAGCAGTCAAGACATCAGATGACGTATTTATCATGCTGGGGAAATCTGCTGCAAAAGTACGCTTTCAAGTGTTGAAGAGCAAAGATGTCTGCTTGAAGATTAAGGTGCGCCTAACCCAAGCCATGGTATTTTCATTCACCTCTCAATGCATGTGAGAACTGGACAATGAATAAGGAAGACCGAAGAAGAGTTGATGCTTTTGAGTTGTGTCTTGGCGAAGAATGCTGAGAGTGCCATGGACTGCTAAAAGAACTAACAAATCCATCCTGGAAGAAGTACAGCCAGAATGCTTCTTGGAAGTGAGAATGGCCAGACTTCATCTTACCTACTTTGGTCATGTTGTCAGAAGGAACCATTCCCTGGAGAAGGTTCTCATGCTTAGTAAAGTAGAGGATCAACAATAAAGGGGAAGGCCCTCATGGAGATGGATGGACACAGTGGCTGCAACGATGGGGTCAAGTATAGCAAGGTCGTGAGGATGGCACAGGACCGGACAGTGTTTCATTCTGTTGTGCATAAGGCCGCTATGAGTCAGAGATGACTCTACAGCACCTAACAACAGCAACATGACCTTGAATCACTCTCTTACTCTTTCAGGCCACCTGACTTAAACAGGCCTCATCAACTCTGAGGACCTTTGTGCTTCTGGCGCTCTCTTACTCTGAGCAGGACTTGATCCTCACTCCCCCACAAATAGATTCCTGTTTAGGCGATAAGTTGAAGACAATGAAGCTCTTAAGTAACTATGAAATGAAGTACACATTTACTACCCAAAATCCCTCATTAAGCTGCTGAGTGCCGCAGGAGGCTGGAGTAGGGAGAGAGCAACATGGGCAGGAACAGCTGGGCTGACTTCACCAAGGAGAGCTCTTAGGCAGGATCCTGAAGGTTAGAGGAAAGGGCTTTCATGATTTATCTTCAGAATTTTCCATCCCATTCATCTTATCTCAACAGAACAAAACACTGCCCGGTCCCCTGCCATCCTCACAGTCCTTGCTGCCTTTGAGCCCATTGTTGCAGAGTCTTCCATTGTTGAGAGTCTTCCTTTTTTTTTGCTTATCCTCTACTTTACCAAGCGTGTTGTCATTTTCCAGGGATTGGCCCCTCCTGGTAACATGTCCAAAGTATGTGAGGCAAAGTCTCACCATCCTTGCTTCTAAGGAGTATTCTTGCTGTACTTCTTCCAAGACAGATTAGTTCATTCTTCTGGCAATCTGTAATATGTTCAATGTTCTCTGCCAACACCACAATTCAAATACATCATTTCTTCTGCTGTCTTCCTTATTCATTGTCCAGCTCTCACATCCATATGTTGTTGTTGTTGTTGTTATGTGCTGTCGAGTGGTATCTGACTCATAGCGACCCCTCCTTGGGTTTCCGAGGCAGTATCACTACGGAAGTAGATTGCTCAAACTTCCTTCCGAGGAGTGGCTGGAGGTTTC